TTGGGACTCTGTGTAGACACCTTGCTTGGGACTCTGTGTACACACCTGCTTCCCAGTGCTTATTCAGCACTAAGAGCGAAGAAGCATTGCAGCCAGCCTGGTGTCAGGGAGAATTTGTCTTCCTATTTCCAGCTGAGACTTTAAGCTCTTGGGGCATCTGCCTCATCACCTCTCTAAGGAGAGTCAACACCAAAGGTGACAGTAAAGATCAGAGAGCCAGGGAAGGCCCATGACACAGCTGCTTGGGAGGCTGCAGTGGGAGGTCATAATTCAAGGCCTGTCTACACTAACTGTAATCACTAGCTGTAGTGATCTAAAGGCCAGCCTGCACAACTTACTGAGACTATATCTCAAAACACAAAGCAACCTGAGGTCTGGGGAGATAGCTCAAGCAATAGAGAGCCCTTACCTAGCTTGAGCAAGTCCTTAGGTTCAAATCCAGTGTGGGAAGTGGAGCATGTAGGGGAACTTTAAAGGAGAGGACCTCTGGGTACCCATCAGATGGTGGGATACAAAGCAATTCTGACAGATCACTTCTTCCTCCACAACCTCACACTTGGCTTAGGTACCAAGAAGGAGCAGTTTCCCTGACCAACACTGCATCTCCCAACAGGTCGCTAGTTATCTTTGACCATGCAGCTCCTCCACCCCAGTGGGTGAGACCCAGTACAGAAACCGCATAGTTCTTCTGGAGACTAAGTCTCCTCAGGATGATCTCTAAATGCTTCTGCTTTAAGACTCTGCAGACAAGAGGATCCTGAGTTCGGAAGCAGCTTTAACAACTGATGCTGCCACTACACCAACGCCTGTCATCAAGTCCTAAGGGAAGCTAAAGAGCAGAGCCCCGCCAAGCTTCTCAGCACTTGCCTTCCAAAGCCTGACAGGGGAAAACGAGCTAACGTTTGCTTCAAGCCTCATTTAAAAAAGCAAAGATCTCATGTTTTCCAGGTTGCATAGATGAGAACAACCTTACATTTTTTTTATTTTCTTCCCCCTTTTTTGATAATTTCATACATTACCATTTTTATATTATTTTCACCCCACCATTTCCCACCTTCTGTTGTCCCCTACTCCCTCACAAGTCCTTGTTTATTATTAGGAAGATATATATTTTATATATCTCTATCACTAATTCCTGTCTCCAGTTCCCAAGTGCTGCGACTACAGACACATGCCATGTTGCCCAGTTTATGTGGATCAAACCCAAAATCCTGGAGAACACTGTACCAACTGGGCTACATCCCCAGCCCTCAAGTCTGATTTTAAATTATAAGGTTTCCACCCTAGACAATGATAACTCCTAAATTTGATCTCTCTAAAGATTCAAGATTTCCCTGACTAAAGATAGGGAAAGATACGGAAAATGAATAAAATCAGCTAAGAATTCAAATGGCGAGGATTGTCTGTAGCCAAATGAGCGCTTCTTGGCAGAGTTTATCACTTTGACAGACTGAAAATCCTGGCTCCAGATTCAAACTGAAAACCCGATTCCATGTTCGACAGCCGCATGCTACTAACTCTAAATCAATAAGAATAATGACAGGCCCCTGTGGAGTTAAGATAAATGAAAAGCCAGCTTTTCTTTATAGTCATTGCTCATTATAAACAGCCTGGGCCTTCTAGCACAGTGATTCTATTGCCATCAGAGAGTTATACATGCTTGGTAGCAGCCTCCTGGGAATTATGGGCCTGCCTCTTTCAAAAGCTGGAAAATCTTTAGTGGCTGGACGAGAGAGTAAAGAGACAAGAGAATCCATATGCAATGATAGGCAAGAAGAATCCGCTGAATATGCGCTCACCGGTTGAAGTGAACAAGTTAAGTCTTAGTCTCAATGAACCAGCAATAGAGCGCCTGTCATCTTGTCCCCATTTAAACTCATTTAAACTCTGCTAAAACGCAGCACAAGTGTGTGTCAAGCACCTCTGTTTTCTCTCCTAATTCAAGCTTCAGAATGATCCAATAGGATACACCCCAATCTATACACACAGAACCCAAGGCTGTGATAAAATGACCAGCCAGGGACCGCAGAGGCAGAGACACTGGAGAACTTGTCCATTTCATCCTCAAGAGGGAGGGAGTTACCCCTTGTGGTGCCCACATTATCAAAAACAATTGGCATCTCACAAATCCTTTTCTTTCAGGGTTGGTAAAAGAACCCAGGGCCGAGCCCCACAGGCGCTCTGCTGAGCTGTGCCACAGCCCTCTCACTGTCTTCCTGTCAGTAAGTCAATATTCTCTTTCTGTTCCTTGTTGCTTCCTAATCATAAACCTTAGACCATGGAAAGCAATGCCTCCCTCCTCTCACTCAAACCTTACAACTAACTTGGAGGGTGGAAAGCAGCAGACACCTTATAGTGTTTAACCTATCTATGCTTCTGTTGGATAAACATGAAACACACATACCAGAGATTCTAACACATACATTTCTCATACACATCCTCAGTCTGAAAGTTCACTTTTCAGTTTGTATCCCAAACAAATTATTTCCCCTAATACTAACTAATCTTTGGCATACCTAATACCTAGCAAGTTCTTACCTACACCTTAGAAATTACTGGTTTAGCCAGGCAGTGGTGGCACACGCCTTTAATCCCAGCACTTGAGAGGCAGAGGCAGGCAGATTTCTGAGTTCAAGGCCAGCCTGGTCTACAGAGTGAGTTCCAGGACAGCCAGGGCTACACAGAGAAACCCTGTCTCGGAAAAAAAAGAAAAAAGAAAAAAAGAAAAAAAAAGAAATTACTGGTTTAAAAACTCCCTCAACTTATTTATACCAAATACTCTAAGGACTATCTTCAAATAGTTTGTCATACCAGAGCCATGTAGACATGTATTCATATCTAGGGACACCTAGCAACAAAGAAGGCAGCATGCAGTAGATGCTAAAAAAAAGCAACCGTGCAAGCACAAGTGCAAATACACACACAATAAATAAATGTAACAATTTTTCAAATTAGAATACTTTCCTTAAAGTGAACTTAATGGTACTTGTCTTAATGTCACACTGCAAGATTCTGTCCCACTTAATGACAGAAAAGGTAGAGAGATGGAAGGAAAGCGAGGAGATATCAAATGATAGAATAAAGCTGCCATTAGTCACAGTAAATGTAGTATCTACTAGAATACATGAGGACATCTACATTTCAGCATGTATGTGGAGGTCAGAGAACAACTTGTCATGAAGCCATGTCCCCCTCCCAGCACAGACCGCCACCCCCGTGTGGGTTCCAGGGATCAAACTCAGGTCATCAGGCTTGGTGACAAATGCCATTTCACCAGTCTCCTGATTTATTTCCCCACTTTGAGATCGGCTCTTACTCCGTAGCTCAACCTGGCCTTGTAACAGCCCTGTCTTGGCCTTTTGAGTGCTGAGATTATAGGCGTGATCACTATGTCAGACAAACGGGGATATTAATATCTCTAACTCCATGCTGGTGTTTAGAGGGTTTAGCATATGTGCTTTAGCAGATCAGAAGAGTTTGTTCTGTTTCTGCCTGTTAATAACTTACGTAAAACTTATCAGCATATATTCATTGTACAGCCATGGGTTTCATAAAGCTGCTTTCCTTTAGATGTATCATGTACTTTGACCATCGTTTCCACATATCTGCCCTTCCTCCTCCCCTCCCCCTTCCCCCACAAGTTCCTTCCCCAGATACTCCCTTCTACTTTCATGTCATATATATCTATATGTATCTACATAAAATCCATGTATTAAAGAGAACACCTAACAATTCTTAGACCCTTCTCAAAAAAAAACTACTAATAATAATACTTTCTTTTTAATTGTTTTAGAATTATTTACTTTATGTATGGGTGTTTTTGCCTGCATGTTCACCACATGCATACAGTGGTCAAGGAGGCCAGAAGATAGCATTGTAATCCCCTTAGAACTGAAGTAACAGTCACGTGGGTGCTAGGAATGGAACCCAGATCCTCTGGAAGAGCAGTCAATGTCCTTCGCCACTGAGCCATCTCTCCAGGCCCAATAATAACAAATTTTATGATTCATCAAGATGGCTCACAAGATTTTTGTTTTAAAACGAGGTCTCACTCTACAGCCTAGGTCATCCTCAAGTTGGAAGTAATCTCCCTGTCTCGACTTCCCTGGTATGCTAGGATTACACTTTGTGGGGGTTTCAGTGAGCCACCTGACAATCTGACAAACACCACAGTAAGCTTTTTGACAGGCATCCAAACCCAATTCAACCTCCAGAATTTGAGTATGAGTATGGTCATTTAAAAAGCCACCTAATAACAATAAAAATTTAAAAGTAAACACACAATGGGCAGTGGAGTATGTGTGTATATGTGTGTGATTGGATTGTGGTGTGATTGTTGTGGTGGGGTGTGGAATGAGTGTGCCCTGTGTGTTGCTTGGGTTTAAACTCACTCACATGTGGAGAGAAATAGTGATCATCTCTGAAGTCTCTTTCTGCTCTGTATGGAAAACTCTTGGGGCCCCGACAACAAACTCAAAAGTCAGGATCTGACTGGCAATTATCTCATCAAATACAGTAATTTGACAGCTGAGAACAATTGGATGGCAACACCCTCCTTTGGAGATTAAAGCAAGAAGGCAGTAATAAGCACCTGGAAGCCCGTGTGTGCCTGTGATTCCCCTTATCTGGGTCTCCAACGGACAACGCTGCCCCGGAAACAATCTCAGTCACTTCAGGACGGAGGCTGAAGAGGCTCATCTACTGTAGTGGAGTCAGCATTCTAACGTCCAAACTAAAGTCTGCAGCATAGTGTGACCACACTGTGTAATGGCAACAAGGAGAAAGGAACCTTCAAACCTTGAGCGCTAGCTGGAAGGTGGTACACACCACTCCTGTCAGTGCTTGGGAGCCTGAGGCAGCAAGAGCTATAAAGTTCAAGGCCAGTGTGAGCTACAGTGTGAGATGCCATTTTGGAAGAGAGTGGGGCAGACTGGAGATTAAGAATCTAACAGTTTCGCAGGGCAGTGGTGGCGCACACCTTTTAATCCCAGGAGGCAGAGGCAGGCGGATTTCTGAGTTCAAGTCCAGCCTGGTCTACAGAGTGAGTTCCAGGACAGCCAGGGATATACAGAGAAACCCTACCTCAAAACAAAAACAAAAACAAAAAACAAAAAACAAAAAACAAAAAACAAAAACAAAAAAACAAAACCTGAGAAAGAATCTAACAGTTTCAAGGACTCAGCAAAGTGGCCAGCAAAGAGAAAGCCCAGCAATGATCTAAAGGAGAATGTTATCAGAGATAGAGAGATGCGTCTAGGAGCCTCTCCTGTGCTAAGAAGGAAGAAGGGACAGAGCCAAGTCCTATGGGAGGGTAGAAAGTACAGGCCAAAACATGCACAGCTGTAGATGGTAATAAAGAAGCTAGAGAAACCGAAGGCGGCAGATTCTAAGCAATCGTACTATTCATTTAATCGTAAAGACACAGATCACCCACCATACACAAGCACTCTTCCACGGGCTCAATGCACTCATGTGTTTTCACTCCTAAAAACAACTGTGTGGAAAGCTAAGTCTGATGGTCCCAGTAAGTAACATCAGAACTTCCAGAACTCGGGAGGTGGATTGTCAAGAACTTCAAAGCCAGCTAGGGCTCCAAGAGTGAGATCCTGTCTCAAAACCAAAACAAAATCTATATGCAAATAGGTGTTGTTTCTCCTACTTTGAGGACGAATAAAATAAGGTAGAGGAACCGGATGACCTTACCAGATCAGACACCGAGAAACAGGGATGAGATTTAGGGACCACATCTATGCAAACCTGTGCAGCCTGTGCAGCCTACGCAGCCTACGCGGCCCACGCGGCCCACGCGGCCTCTGCATTAAGCCCACTGTGTGTCACGCTTAACTCAAGTAAACCTCTGAACTTGTCTTCTGGCCTGGAAAGGCCTCCTAAATTTTACTAAAGGCCTGCATAAACTTAAGCTGAAGTTGTTCCTCCCTCCCCGCCACTCAGTTGGGTCTAACACCTTTGTCCGTGGAATCTGCAAACAAACCTAGGACCAAAAACCTTTGTGATGGTGTTCCAGTGCACCTGATTAGATAAAAATCCCTGTGCCTCCACCAATATAAAGTCAGATTCTTCTCTGCCACCCAGCCATTGGTTTCTTATCTTGGGCACCAAGTGGAACAGGATGCCTCTGTAGTCACAAAAGGACCTCTGAAACCTGGGCTGTAAAAACTCAAGAGTGGTGACAGCCCGCGAGGCATAGTGGGTAATAAATCTGCTGATACAGCAAACGGCTGTCTTAGAGTTAATCTAGAAAGTAAAAAAATAGTAGTGGAGACAAAACCCAGATAGAGGGATTCTTGTAAGGTGGACTACTGTTCTTGGCTGGTGTCAGCCTGGCTCTGCCCGCAAGTAGAGAGGCTGTCTTTCTCAATACAGCAGACCAGAAACTGAAATATTCTCTCGGGTGTCCATCCCATGCCCACTCCACCTCCCTAACCCCTTGCCCAAATTGCTTTCACAGTTCTAAGCTCAACCCCTGCCACTCCAAGCTCCCTAAGTCCTCAGAGCAGCCGGGCTCTACATCCTTCCCTGCACTCACCTCCAAGGTTTTCACCAGGATCTTCATGTAGATTTCCGAGATACCCAGAGATAATCCGAAGGCCGAGGGCAAAAGGATGAGGCCGCCCACCAGCGTCAGCCAGGTGGACAGGAGCTTCACCGCCAGGTCTGCGCCCTCCATGTCTCCGCACGCCCTCTGGGAGAGGTCCCCAGGAAAGCCGAGAGCGGTAGGTGTCGAAGTCCCAGGCAGTTGAGCCGCAGCTCGGAAAACACAGTGTCCAACCTGGAGCCGGACTCTGCGGAGTCGGCGCCGCCCGCCTCGCTCCCTTCGTCTCTGCGGAGCGAAGAGGAAAGGGGAGGCGAGAAAGCTCAGAACTACCGCGATCTCCTTCCCCTCCTTGGGTCCCAGTTGTCCCCGCAAGCTCAGTCTCTACTGGAGGCCCAGGTCAAGCTGTGGCCACGGCAGCAGGCGCAGATCTGAGTGTCTCCGGCGAGAAGACCCAGCTGGGTGACCTAGGGGACACCCTAGTCCAGTCAGAGCGCACGGAGGCAGCCAGGAACGCGCCCCACCCCGGGCTTGATTTCCTCCGGGTAGCGATTGCGACAACCCCGCGGTGACTCACCGAGGCCCTCAGGCAGCGAGGATCCCTGCAGTCTCCCTGCACCTCGGCGTGGGCTGCGGGCTATGCGGGTAGCCGGTGGCTTTTGGGCGCCGGGCTCCCTTTTTCTACACTCTGCCCTTGCCCCACCCCCCTCGCCACCCAACAGGGAGCTCCCTGGCTGACCGCGTCCCGGGGGCGCCGCCGCCTAGAGAGCCGCCGCCCTCTGCCCCGCCCCCCGCACTCCCAAAGCAAAGGTTCTTTCGGTAGCAGACTTTCCATCTTCACCCACAGAACCGACCGCTGACGTCTCCAAGACGCTGCGGAAGATATTGTTTGTGAGCGTGCAACACGACCTCCTGGGAAGGGTTTTTCCGGAGGAGGAAACTACAGAGCAAGAATGAACAGTCACGCTCTGCCGCTCCCGGCTCTCCCTCACCTCTTTCCTTACCCTAGCCAGCCGCAGTCAGGAAAAGAGAAATCTCAATCTCTTATTCTCTCTCTCTCTCTCTCTCTCTCTCTCTCTCTCTCTCTCTCTCTCTCTCTCCCCACACACACACACACACACACACTCACACACACTCACACACACAGTAACTCGAAGCGGTGGTGTCCCAGAAGACTAGAATTCCAGCACTTACACTCGGGAATCTGCGACTGGAGAATTCAGAGGAAATGGGTCTGGGCTGTTTTGAGTTCCAACAGTCAGCCTAGGAATAAATAGATACTTTATAGACCTTTCTTTAAAAGGCAGGCGGACTGGTGAGCGGGCAGGGAGAGGGGAGGAAGGGACACCCTAGAGGCTGCTTGTCACTCCTCTCCCTGGAGGAGATTCCAGTCTAAGTTTCCCTTGCATCCGCCTACACAGAGCACAGACTGCAGAAAACGCTGCGCAAATACTAACGCCGCTATGGTGCAAGCCCTTACTAGAACAAAGAACCGAAAATCCTGCACGTGTATTCCACTGCAGGTCAACCAGTTTTAAGAAGCGTGAGAAAGGATATTGAGAGCAGCAGTATGCAAACCGACCGCCAGAGGATCCAAACCATCACCGAATCCGCTCTAAATTCTTAGAAGGACCCAACTCTTATAGTCGACAGTCCGGAGTAGGTTTTGGAACTGGAAAAAGTGGGAGGGCCAGCAAAATGAACTGAAAGTATTAACAACAAATATTGCAGAGAAAGCTGCCCCCACCCCCAGGAGGAGTGGAGGAAGAGGGAAGCAGGCCTTCGCAGTCTGTACGCGTTGGTTCTCTGTGCCTCCCGACAGTTGCAGACACTCTTCCCACTAAGGGAGCAGGGTGGAGATAATGAAGATGTGGAAGGAAGGTGTCCTGAGCTTACTCTCAATGCAGCTTCTGGGGCCAGTGAGACGGCTCATCAACACAGGTGCCTGATGCCCATCAATTATGATAAATGGTCAATCTTTGGCCGCCACCACCACGGCCACCACCCAACTCCCATATAAAAGGAGAACCAATTTATCCTCTGACCACATATGCTCGATGGCCTGCCTCCTGCACACACAAAATAAATAAAACAAAATTAAAAAATATTTCTGAAGAGCTTCTACCAGGCATGATGTGGAAAACCTGTAATCCCAGCACTTAGGAAATGGAGACAAGAGGATCAGGAGTTCAAGACCAGCATGGGCTTTTTTTAGACCCCCATCTAAACACACACACACACACACACACACACACACAAATAAGTATGTATGTGCAGAAAGAAAGTGGAAGAAGGCCAACATATCCCTGCACATGTGTGGTTTGTATAGTTAGCCCACACACGAGCTAGGGGTTATTAGTTCATTTAATGCTGTTCAGGTAAAATATTTAACTTTTACTTCCTCCAGCTGAAGTGACTAAGAGCTGCTGAGTGACTGCTCCTTTGTCTGCCCTGCAGAGGAAACATACAGCCATCCCCTGTTTCTGCTTAGCTACACACTGGTGCTCAGCAAACACCCCTCTCCCTGGAGGAGATTCCAGTCCAAGCTTCCCTTGCATTTGCCTACACAGAGCACAGACTGCAGAAAACGCTGCCCCAGGGGTGTTTGTTGTTCATAATCATATGAGTGTCTTCGTAAGTAACTAGAAATCAGAAACTTGCAACAAGGGCAGTATTCCTTCCCACCTGACACCCAGCAATATCAACAAAGCCTTCTAAAAGACACAGGCTCACCTTGGCACACTTAGGAAAGCAGAGGCTGAGGGCTTGCCTCTCCCTGTCTCCCTTTACCTCCTCAGAAACTCCTTTCCTTCCTGCAGTACGGAGTCCCCTGCCTTAACAGATCAGCCCTGGAGTTTTTACCTTATGGAAGCCAGAAGTCTGAAAATAAGTTGTCTGTAATACATGGTGAGGCTCCCCACAAGATCTCTAGGGAGTATCTTCTCTTGTGTCTTCAAGCTTCTGATGTTCGACTTATTCTGTGGTTTCTGTGACTCTAGTCTCTGCCCCTATTCACATGAGCTTCTCCCTGGGCATCTTTTTGGCATTTGAATGAACTCAAGGAACAGACAGTGTGTTACTTAAGTCTCTTATTCCGGGACAGACTGTGAGGCCTCAGGGTGGTGTGGGAGACGGTTGTGGATTCAGCTCTGCAGTCTGACTTTAATGCAGATAAATGCGTTCCAGAGAGGCTCTTCCTACATACATGTGCAGTGCTTTAGGTCAGATGTTCAGCCGAAGGACAAGATCTCCACTTTTTAGTTTTTCCCCCCTAAGCCCAATGACAGACAGTGATCCAGGGAAAGATCCACCATGCTATGTTTGACTTTCAGTCTCAACAGTCACCATTTTGGTCTTCTGTAGAGGGACAGAAGGAACTGTGTTCCATCTATGTGGTCAGATGTAGCAGATAAGGAAACAAGTCTATATATCAAGTCCCTGCCTGGAAAGAGGAGGGAGGGAAGGAGGGAGGCAGCCTGAGAATGCACCTTACCAGGAGAGCACATGTACAACACCCTGAGTTCAAATAAAATAACAGCAGCATTCTATCTGGTTGGTTGGTTTTTGTAATACTAACAGGCAACTCCAAGGCTTTGTGCATGCTAAACCAAGGCTCTATCATGAGCTGTAGCCCTAGAGAGGAAATCTCCCTCCCTCTCCCTCTCCCTCTCC